AACAACATCACACTCTACTAGGAACTCACTGCAAATTGAGAAAAAGTAAATTTTAAAAATTTTCTGCAGAAAATAGCACTGTTTTTTTTGCATCTCCACCTTTCAATTTCCATAATAGAAACAATGGAGAAATATCATCATCATATCTTTACTGATGGTAAATTAAAACTTGGACAATAAATATTAATTCAAATATGTAAAGGAAAGATCTTTTATAAAAAGACTGGTGAAGTGCTAAGGAAAAAAAGGCTGAGAGAATACAGTTTTTTAATCAATTTCAGAAAATTTTAGGGGCTACATTGCTTTCAGATAGGTGCCAGCTACAAATACACACCTGACTGACAAACCAAACCTTAGCATTTTCAAAAAATAACACAATTCATAAATTATTTATTGGAGTATTTTAAACCTGCTTTAAAGTAGAAAACTCTACAAAATTTTTTATCAAGTCTAAAAGACTAGCAGAAATTAACAACTCGGTGGCAAACAATCTTATATACTTTTCTCATATAAAAGCTTAAAATGTAAGAAGAATATGGAATCAAAATAATATACTTTAAATTTACTTTAAAAATTCAGATGAGTCCCAAAGCTTGAAACACAATATCCACACATTCAAAGACTTTTCAAAATGTCTTAAAAGTATTATTTCAGAATTTAAATGTTTTAAAAATGCATGTGTAATTTATGTCTGCATATCAAAAGCAGACATAAAAAACATGTTGTACCCTTTTAAAGGTTAGTTCCTGAATTATTTTGGGGCACAAAACATAATTCAGCTCCTCATGTGTCACCGAGTTTATGTGTAGCATTTCTATTTTTCCACTGATAAAGCCCATAAAATAAATCTGAAAATCCTTTTGAAAGTGAGCGTGCACATAATGTCTATTTTTACAAACCAAAACTGTCATTGGTGTTTTAAAGTGTTTTCTTCATGTTCATTTCTTTGTGGAGTAACTGAAGGTAAAAATAAATCTACTACATATGATAAAGATTCTGTATTTCTTTTTGATTGGTATGAAAAATGAGAAAGTGAGAGCATCAAGTGACTTGACAATAATAGAAGTTTGGCATTTTCAGCCTGACAGAGGAACATGCTTTGGATTTATCAAACCGCTGGCCAGAATGAAACACAATTTTTGTATTAGGCATTTGAGTATATGATCTGGGCAAAATTAGCTTTCTAAAACTGAATGAGATCATGTGCTTTCAAAACTGAAGGCCCAAACCTGCTCTTTCTCTAATGGGTCAAACATACCAATTGTAAATGCGGGGAAACTCTCAGAAATGTAGATACAAGAACTGTTAGGCTAAAAGGAAGTCATAGAACATGACCTGATGCCAAAACCCCGGGGAAAGTTCAGTGGTATTGCATCATCACATGGTGTTATTTTAAGAGGTTTGAGGTTGGACATCATTTTGATAGAATTAGAAGGTAAGCCTATCTGATTGCAAGAACTGACCTATGTGAAAACCTTTACACCAATATAACATAAAGGAAACAAAGATTTTCAGTTAATGCAAATTCTAAAATCCTTGATCCTGATAGAGGAGAAAAATAGGAAATCTCATCCTACGGTCACTTCAGTCTGGGGGAACTGAATACAGAGATTTAAATGTAAAAGAAAGATACAGCAATTCTCTCTGTCGCGTGCTCAAGGCCGAATTCTTTACCTCAGTAGGGTGTCAGTGGTTCCTGGCACAAATCCTTTACAAAGCATCCAGCTAAAAAACTACCCACTTTATCTTCTGGCTTAAGAATGGCATAGCCAGTAAATCGTGATCACTTAATGCTATTATGCTTCTCAGCTGTATCCAGACATATATATATATATTACAAGCTGAAGAGAGCCATGGCATTTATTTTTAGATGGAGAGAAAGATAGTAAGTGTGACTTCATATGCTTGTTATCTTGACTCTTCAGATGTTGATCAACAGGTGTGAAAAGCTTTCCTCAGCTATGCTACTGCTGCATAAACAGTGGGGCTGTTCTGGGAGATGTTAAAAACTTATATGAAACTGTAATTCTCCAAATGAGTAAGGCAAGAATTGCACCTGAAAACACACAGATTCATTTATGTGGTACTTTTGTATCAATTGTTCCAAGACTTCTAAGTCTTTTGGTCTTTTAAGTAATGCTGAACTGTTGCCAACAATTTGAAACCTAAAAAGTTCTCTAAATGAGTTAAAAGAAACCGTGTTGCTCAGTAACTTTTTTCAGTTTTTCAACCACTTTTCATCACTTAAGAAATTAGACTAACACTTTTGTTCAGATCCAAAGTATGCTTCTGAAAGCAAACCCCCCATCACTCCCACTTCCTGCATTTTGGTTCACATCACACAACAGCTTCAGAGTGCACAAAGTGGTTTCCTTTACAATGAAATTCAACTACAAGGTGACCTCTGGGAGCGCTGCTAATGCGCACCAACCGCTAAAGGGAATTCAGTCCACAGAATCGAACTAGAGCTAAGCAGCCCCTGCCTAAAACACACAGTAGGTAGATGCCAGGTCCTCAATACCAAATGATCTGCTCCTACTGCACCACGCTGCCTGCTAACGCAGACAGAGCTTGAAACATTTCTTGCAACTTTCATAGAGAAAAAGTTTCTTAACAGAAATTAAATTACTGACTGATTAAAACTAGAGATATATCCAGCCTCAGAACATGAACCTGGCTTCAGATGTTCCAAAGCCCAGAGGTGTTTGATCAAAAATTTTGGTTCAAATTTCTATAAACCATATAAAAGGGAACTGTGCAGATGGGTATAGATCTGGCTTGCATGTAAAGCACACACATTTGATGTAAACTCTATTTTAGGGGGGCTTTTTCACAAGGACAAGATTAGTATTTACCTAGTGGGTTCACACATTTATAAATAAAATGGTGGGAAATGGAACATGTTTGTTGGCATAGATCCAGCGAATTTTATCTTTAAAGGCAACCATACTCTGCAGATTTGCCCTTTTATGTTTCTTTTTTTTCCTGCTCTCATCCAACCAAGCTATTCAGATAGCTTCTTTTGAAATTGTTAACAAGAAACTTCCACAAACAGATTATTCCTTTTTTCTTAATACATGAAGTTTTAAATTAAAGTGCATACGACAAGTCTTCAGCATATGCTCACTACCACCAACTAAAATCTTTGTCTCCACAGCATGTGCTTGACAAGTAATATTATCTACACAATGGCCAAGTTCACAAAGGATTTTGTTTCTATATATGGTAAAGCACACATTTGTTTTAGCATACTGAGTGTTCTTAGTTACACTCAGTCTACCTAAATCCTCCCTCTCCCCACACCAGGGCATGATCCAAAGACCAGTAAAGCTTTTAGGAGAGTCTTGAAAGATTGTGTATTACATTAGTCTGAAAAAAATGCTCTCTTTGGCACATGCTAGGACAGTTGTCCAAAATAAAACCTTAAAGAAACACTGTTTCATGCAGTTCATGTGCAGACAAAACTACAGCTGTGTTGGAGTGACAAATCCAGAAACACAGAAACTGTAAAGACTAGTATTTATTACTTAGAGAACTAAATATTCAGTAAATACCAAGAGGATTCTAAGCAAGAGGAAAAATCTCCTGCAAGCTTTTCACAGTCTTTCTTTTCCAGACACTGTTCAAAACCAGATTTTTATATATGTCTCATTTGCTGTATAATGATTTTTTAAAAAATCTTTTTAGTATCTTCTCAATTTAAGAGGTTTCTAATTATCCTGCTAAACCAGCAGCCTATAAAAAGTTAAATATTAATTAGAACAGACACACTAAAGAGATATGACTGGAACAATATGTTCAATGGAAAAAAAAAAAAAAAAAAAAAAAAAGGTAATACATGCAGCCAAATTGTCTTTGCACATTCAGGCCAAAACCAAGTTTCCATATTACTACAGAGAACAATGTTGTT